TTATGCCCGGCGCCTCCAACTACGACTTATCTACACCTGGCCAATTCATAATCGACCATGTCGGCCTTGGAAGCGCGGACCACCATTATCCAAACGGTTTGGCTCGGGCTGCGAGATGGGAGATTCTGCAGCCAGCGGTTTGCCGGACGTCAGTCAAATTCTAATACAGAGCGATTGTGAATAGTGATCACGCATTAACAAGTGTAGGCAGCAGGAAGAGTATCATCCCATGATGAAATTACCTCCATAGACATGGCAAGGTGGCGGGTTTGCTGAAGCCTACCTAGGTAGGTAGCAGCTAGCATAGGTAGCAATCCAACGGCTGCAATGCCACATTTTGCCGAGCCAGCAGTGGAGGCATTTCTTCAGTACCCTCTTGGCAAAGCCTGCAGAATCCACTTCCAAGGAGAAGAGCGCCTTATCAATCAATCCCACGCACTCGCTGCCCTTAACTCCGAGGACGCCATTGACCGGTGGGTCTCGGAGAACATTGCTCTCTGCCGTAGGTCGCAATGTAGATCCGCCGGTATAAAAAATCAGATGGTCCTTATGTCCCCTGGCATTGCGTGAATGGGTTCTATCAATCTTATCTGATCTCCTCTCTATTTCCCTGCACAATGCGGTGGTCCCTTCTCCTCCCGCTGAGCCTTGCGATCCCAGCACTGGCGGGATGTCCGTATGCAAACCAACTCGGTCTTGACGCGCGCGATGCGCCACTCCCACCAGGACACCCTCACGCCCCCAGGCCTCGCTCCTCGCCTTCCTCCCCGGCCTCCCCCCTCCCCTCCCCCGCGAAGAACAGCTCAAAAAAGGGCGTCTTCTACATGAACCGCATCGCGCCCGGAACATCCGAGCTGTACATCAGCTCCGCAAACGGCTCCCACGAGCGCCCTCTTCTCCCCGATCCAGTCTACGAGTACCACGCCTCCTTCTCGCCAGACGGGCAATGGATAACATTCACCGCCGAGCGCAGCGGCGACGGCAATTCCGATATCTACCGCGTACGACCTGATGGATCTGACCTCCAACTCCTCCTTTCGACGCCGAGCATGGAGGACTCTGTTGTGACGAGTCCCGACAGGAAGAAAATCGCGTATGTGAGCACTGAAAACGGATACCGCGCCAATATCTGGGTAATGGATCTGAGCACGCGCAAGAGGTGGAACGTCACCGACACCGCTCTCTCACGGTTCTCCGTGAACTCAACGCTCATGAACGGGTACTTCAGACCGTCCTGGTCCCCCGACGGCTCCTGGCTCGCGTTCAGCTCAGACCGGAACACGGATTGGCGGGGCCATGGGACGGACACGTACCTGGGTATCAGCGGGTGGGAGCACACGCAGGAACTCTCCATCTACGCCGTGCGCCCGGATGGATCCGATTTCCGGACGGTCGTGACCAAGCCCGGGTATAGCCTTGGAAGTCCGGCGTGGAGTATCGATGGGAAGAGGATCGTGTACTACGAGATGACGCGCGAAGCAACATGGGGCGCGCATCGGCCGGAGAGTATCGACTCCACGAGCTCGGTGATCGTCTCGGTGGATTTTGAGACGGGGAAGGATAGGAGGGTTGAGGTTGGGACTGAGGGCGTCAAGGCATTCCCGCAGTATCTCGACGACACCACCATCGCCTATCACCTGAAGGGAACGGACGCCGAGGGAATCTACACCACAGCCGGAACGTACCTGAACAAAACGATCCGGTCGCCGGCGTGGTCCCCCGACGGGAAATACATCGTGTACGAGAAAACAGCCTGGGACATACGGCCCATGGCGAAGGAACTGTATTCCTGGGACGAGGAGTGGGAGTACCGCTTCACCGACGTCTTCCCGCAGCTCTCCTCTACCTCTCATGCGCAGAAAAAGCTCGCCATCACGCAAAAGCAGCTCGGCAACTCGTCCATCGTCTCCATGTTCCCCAACGCCACGGATGAACGCACCGCATACGATAACGCCAAGTCCACGCTCGTCGAATCCTCCCTCGTCTCGCAAGGTCTCGCAGGCGCCTTCCAGCCCTCCTGGTCCCCAGACGGAGAATGGCTCGTCTTCGGCGAGGGCGGGTGGTTCCAGGACCGATCCTCGTACGGGGGGTGGCTTATGCGGGCGACAGCGAACGGGTCGTACTACGAGGTGCTGACGAACTCGAACGAGAGCATTTCGAACACCAGCATCATCAACTCCGGGTTCCCGAGCTACAGCCACGACGGAAGGAAGGTCGTGTTCCGCGTTTGGGGCGCGAACTCGACGGCGGGCGATGAGAGGCAGCTTGGACTGCGGGTTTTGGATCTGGATACGAGAACGATTAGTGTGTTGACCGATCAGTGGGATAATCTCCCGTTCTTTTCTCCCGTTGGTACGGAGGAGCGGATTGTGTTTACGCGGAAGACAGACGTGTATAACTACGACGTGTGCACGATCAAGCCGGACGGGAGTGACTTGAGAGTCCTGACGAGTAGCGGGGGCAACGATGCACATGCTGTGTGGAGCTATGATGGGCGCATTGTGTATTCGACGGGGATGTTCGGGTTCCAGTATGAGTGTGCGCTGTACGATGATACGTTCCAGCCGTATGGGCAGGTTGTGGTGATGGATGCGGATGGGGGGAACAAGCGCGTGTTGACGGATAGTATCTGGGAGGATTCGATGCCGCTCTTCGTGCCGTTTGAGGACTTTTAGATCGGATATTGGGTGTGTATTTGTAGATGCGTCAGAGGGGATGGATGTAGAATATAGAATGCAGTTGAGTTGTATTCATGGACTACCGGACATACAGGATGTGCACTAAGAGGTCTATTCATCCATCGCCTCCCACCCAGTTCTGATGGACCGAGCTCTGATCTCTGGAAACTCTGTATCTATGCCCTGGGCGGATATCCCGGCCAGCCATGCTGCAGTAATGCCTGCAACGCGCGGGCGTGGCTTCTCAGCGGGGTCCCTCCCACCGGAGCCTGACTGGTGCCCCAACAGGTCGAATCGATTATTCAACGCCAGGCAGTAGGCCAAACACTTGTGCTCATCTTGGTATCCACCCAGTTGATCAAAGCCGATGTTCAGGCCGACACCAGGTGCAACAGGAACCATCTTATCCCGTTCAGACCAATACATGAGGAACCGCACAACCCAGTTCCCGCCCAGCCTGCGCTCCATCTTCTCGAACAGGAACACGAATTCGCAGTCTGCCTCGACGTCTACTTCCTTGTTGCCGATCATGAACCGCTGTGAAGCTGTCGCGCGCATCCGCGTAACACAGCGCATGGTGTTCTGGGCGAACTCGATGTGCACGCCGTGGCAGCGGTGAATCGTGCGGGTTTCGCCATGATCGCAATGCGCGTGCATGAGAAACTCGTTGTGGTCTTTGTGGGTGACTGCGCCTGTTCGAGGAGACCAGATGATGCCGTCGTCATGGAACATCGCTGCAAGGTTGTTCCAATCGCAATGGTCGCTGCAAGTGTTAGTGGGGACATATGGCGCTGGGATGATGACCCACCGATACAGAGCCCAATCTTCGACAAGTTGGCGCATTCCGACATACGGCAGGTAGGAAGGATCATCGCTGTTGTCGATGCCATTTTGAGCTCTCTCAAGTAATCTGCGCCATAGTCGACTTTGTCGTATGCGTTCGAGCCTGGCTCGGTACCGTTGAGAACGTTTCTCGGTCCTAGAGGCTGTCGATAGGGTTGGAGAGGCTGCGCTGCGAGTGTCTCCGGCTGCCTGGGGTTGAGAGGCAGGACGGTAAGGAAGCTCGGTCTGCCCTGTGTTGGATGGCCCAGATGCGGTCGGTGCCGGAGAAGGATGGTGCATGTCGTCCATTTCGATGCTGGTGGTGGATCGTTGCAGACCGTGCGAAGTGGCGGAACTTGGGTGGTAGGTTGTCAAGCTGGGTTGGGGTGCGTTTTCGGTCAAAGTCGGAAAGGATGGGGGCTTTTGTTTGCAGGAGGTTCCAGCATTTATGTCCTGTTGGTTTTTTCCGTGGATGTCCAAGCGGTTCCGTGTTGTGCAATCCTGTCATTGCACAATGGAGTGAAATCTTCACTGTTCACCACCAGCACACCAGTCAATCGATGAGTGAGAGGCAAGATTAAAATCGCTGCAGCAAGAAGATAGTCAGCTGGTCCTCTTCTCAGGCGGCCGAGTGTATCTTTTCAAAGCACTTGGTCGGTTAGCCGTCTCTGGGAGAGTGGCAAGAACCTGGGTTGGTTTGTTGCAAATAGCCTCCTGGGGCTACTCACGAACCATAGACTAGGTCATAGGTTACGTTGCAGAAGGGGGTCAAGTGCAATAGGGATATCGGCCCCCAACTCTACATGGCCGTCAATACGCCAATCCATGCGACGTCCGCGTCCATCGATACAGCGACAGAATCTCCCTCCTCCTCGCCTTGTGCGTCTCCCGGAACTGCGGATCCGCTTGCTGAGCATCATGGAGCATCGAGCGAAAGACCTTGCGAATGTTTTTCTACGCCGTCAGCTACTTCCTCATGATACTACAGAGCGCATACCTGAAACGTCGTGTCCAGCGTAACGACGCTGACTTCATGCGCACGAATGATCGTCTCGCAGACTTCCTCAACCGACTTGTTGAAGCCCAGCTCCGGCATCCGGTCGACGAAGAGCAGGAGGATGAAACTTCCTTGAAGCAGGTATATCCCGAAGAGGTACGGCATGAAGGTTAGCTCCGGGTCGAGAGTGAGGATCTGGTGGACGGCTGCAGTGGCGCTGAGAGCGTGCGATGCGCAGGCCTGGAAACTGTTTGAGGTGATCCAGTCGTCTTCGTCTTCGATCATGGATATCGGATCCCATTTGCCGTGGAGGAGGATGTAGAAGACGTGGAGCATGTGGGAGCTATACGCGATTACCAATGGTTTCTTCGAATTGACTGTCGGCACGGCAGGGAAGGTGAATGGATCAACTGGACGGTTTTGAAGGGGGCTGTCGAGTTTCTCCTGCATCTCCACCAGGTCCTGTTCTCGCTGGGATATCAGTGTCTCGATCTTTTGAATGGCGGCGTGGTTAAGTGTATCGCCGAGAAGGGGATGTTTCTGGATGTGGTGGAAGTCGATGATATGCCCGAGCACTGTGGCCAGAGGGAGGAAGTACTCGAAGAAGCCATACCCCGTTATCCTCGCCGGTGGGCCAAGACGAGGCGGGAGATTGGAGGTGAGATCTGCGGTTTCAATGTCCTGCCAGATTGCTTCAGGCAGTGGCTCTGCAACGGCGAATGTGCCCTCGGGGAAGTTCACGGGCGCGTTCAACGACAGCCCAAGATGCCGATCGAGGCAGTAGATCAGCCAGAACAGTCTGCGACGCTCTTCCTTTGCAATCAGCGTTGTGCGCTTGGATCCACTGTCGGGGTTTATTTGCAGGTGAGGAACGTTGCCCTGGAGGTCCTGGTCTTCCATGCTCAGACCACTGGCTCGAGTAAGTCGAACAGCCTTGGACCACCACTTCAGGCAGTCGGCTTTGAAATGGCCTCCAGATATGACGAGCGCAAGGATCACCATGGCGAGTATGACATCAGTCGCCCCGAGGAAGTCGGGTATGAGCCCGCTCCTCGCCGCATGAGAGACCGAGGAGCGTCCGTCTTTGTCGGTGAATCCCCCGCGAGGATGGAATTGCCAGCCATCTATCTAGTCAGCCTTGATACGATCCCCGACCAAGTCACTCACCAGATGTCCTAAAGTAATTATCCCAATCAACCGGCTCCATCAAGTCGAGCGCCAATCTGTACAAATCCAGGACAATCCGCTGCCTAGCACCAGGCGGATCGAAGATCTTGATGTCAGCAGTGTGCGCCACGCAGAGGAGCATGACCAGAAGCAAGACGGAAGACGTCGGTCGTGGGGACGTTGGATGGAGTACCGACGACGGGTGTACGATGTGCGTCAGGGTGTAAGGCGACGAGGCCTTGAAGATGGGATTCCGCTGCTCGTTGAAGTAGATCTCCAGCATCTCCGACGCATCCTCGGGTGACAGGATGCCGTGGAGATAAGGTAGTAGCACGTCTAGGCAAGGGTATACCTTCCCCTGTGACCGTCCTCGGCCAACGATTCCCTGCGCTAGGGCTGGGTGAATCGGCAGTCCGTGGGCGTCACTCTGTGCCATTGGCGTCGCCCTGTCCAGCCAGTTCTCAACGCGTGGAGTGTAACCAGCCTGGCTATGTGCACGTCCCTGGCTTCCGAAGAAAAGGTCCTGGAAGATGGACGGGTTGGGGAGGTGGAAGAAGGGCGAGTCGCGGTGGGCTTCGACCGCAGGGATGCCAGTGTCCAAGCTGGAAGCAGGATGGTTCCTTCCGTCCGCTCCATTTGTTTCAGTCCCTCGCCTCGAGTCGTCTTCGGTGTACGACGGACTGCTCAGCGAGTTCAGGCTGCGCATACCGTTCGACATCTGCCCCGGCGACGGCATCGGTTCGGATGGGTTGATCAAGTCGTGCAGGCTCGGCGGGCCAGGTGCGATCGCTCGATGAACGGTTGACGCAGGTCTCGTCCGACGGCGACGGCCTCGTTTTCGAACGAGTTTCTCGTAGTGGCAGGAGGTGTTTCGTTCTATTTGATTCTGTCAGTCGCCCAGGATCCGGTGCTACTGCGGGGTCAAGCCACCGACCGGTACATCTCTGGCTGGCTTTTGTTAGCTTTGAATGCAGAGGGTTGCTTCACGGACGTACCACGGGTGTTCGCCATCGCAGCGTTGCTTGGACTGGGAGCACCGATCGCAAGCCCGCAAGACGCGCAACCGGTGGTCGCCATCTGGCATTGTCGAAGGGACCTCCATCAGACTATGCTCTCCAGTTCACGGGCCCTGGGGAACTGGGGTGCGTCTTAAAGCCGGCAATGCGGGGAGCTGCACCCTGTTTAGTGTCAGGCTAACCCCCTGCCCGGCTAATCTCCTTGCTCAATCTATCATGGCGCACTGTGAGTCTGGGCATTTGTCATGGCATGCTCATTCTAATCCGGTCTATAGCTTCGTCTGTACTACATCGCCTTCAGTCGCTGGGTTCTCCCCAGAGAAGCTGTAGTTCCTCCACTGGCCCAGAATTTCCTGCACAGCTCTGAACAATTCCAGGTCCTGTACATCAGCACTGTCATTTGACGATTCCACCTCTCTTCCAGCTCCATTCCAACCTAAGGTTTCTCCATCGCGACCCAATACCCCCACCGCCGTTGTGATATTCTCTTCGATCTCGGCCACCGATGTCCCTCCCATGATCGTACCCACTCGAACATTCCCCGTTGAGCAAACCTTCGCCCGCCACAGTGCATAGCGCAATGCCAGTCGTGCTAGTATCTCCCCTTGGGACGCGACATACACCGCAGCCGCATGAGCAGCCCTGCGGAGCCCTTCCGGCGCCGGATGCCAGTCCCCCAAAGCAGCGATCGGAACGCCTTCACCACGGAGTAGCCCACTGGCAAGCGGACTGGAGCTGCATACGCACGATACCCCAGCCTCACGGAACACCTGCAGCCCTTCCCGCTCTAACCGGTCATTCTGAAGCGTGAGCTGCGCCCAGTTCTGGATGACGTCCAGCGGCCGCCCGTACATTTCTCGTGAGCGGCGAGCAACCCTAGCCAACGTATCGATCGGGTATCCTGAAATCCCGATATATCGGATCGTGCCCGCCTCGACCATCTCATTCAGTACGGCAATCGCCTCCAGGACATTCTCCTCTTCCACCAGCTCGATATCATGGCAGAATACCACATCCAGGTAATCCGTCCTCAGCCGCTGCAAAGACCGCGCGACAGAGAACCGCACCCACTCCGGCGAGAAGTCTGACTTTGTGGCGCTGACTCGGCCGACCTTGGTCATAAGGATATAGTCGTTGCGGTCGTACTTGCTTGTGAATTGTGGGTGCGATAACGCTTCGCCGAGCAGCTCCTCAGACGGCTCATAGTAGGGCGAGGTATCGATTGCGCGGACTCCCAGCTGGAAAGCAAGACTGACCACCTCTCGCGTTTGCTCGACGCTCGGAGTCGAAGTGTGCTGGTAGCTGAACCCCGCGCCCCCAAGGATGAGGGGCGGAAGGATCTGGTTCAAGGGTGTGGACAGTGGTCGTTCAGACGCCATGTCGAAGGTCCTCGAGATTCGCAACCTCGTTGTCCAGAGACATCTTCGGGCCTTATTATGCCCGGCGCCTCCAACTACGACTTATCTACACCTGGCCAATTCATAATCGACCATGTCGGCCTTGGAAGCGCGGACCACCATTATCCAAAC